GCACTTATTGCAAAAAGATATACATCGGCGAAACAGGCAGAAGACTAGGTGACCGATTCTGAGAACACCTTCGCGACGTGGAAAAGAATGACAAGGACACATCGAAACCAGTTGCTAGACACTTTAATTTACCTAATCATTCTAAGCAACATATGGCAATCTGCGGTCTTTCCTCACACTTAGGTAGCACGGAAAGCCGTAAAACTCTTGAATAAAAGCTCATCTTTCAAGCCGGCAGTCTAAATCCCACAGAGATCAGCGAACGCTTTTCATTCCACTAATTTATTCGCGTTTTTCTCGTTGCCATGTTTCCACCAATAACGTAGCTCCATTTTCTGCCTTTAAAAGCACACACAACCCACAATTCCTCTATTCGCTAACGCTCGAAACGTCAGCTTTTGTAATCGTTACGGTGGCCAATTTACCATTTCAACTTTGTTGATATATCCAAATTATTTCGTTACCCCCACCGATGCAGCCCCAAACAGTTTCTTTAGAAACTATCAGCCTTTTTACAAATTTGATGGTCTTTCTCCAGCGGAACGAAACAATTACGGTATCTCGTTAAATGTGCAAGGGATATAATAGAACTAGACACATATTTGCGTTCACTCGGGCTTTCTGTCGGCAAGAAATTGTGCTTTTCAGTGTGCCTGCATTCGCCTGTACAGGATGAAATTTGCGTCTATGCCACTCTCTATTAACATGAGATAGCTCATTTGACACAGCATGTTTCTCGATCAAACGTTCACTTATAAATGTTCGCTCATAAAGAGATCCCTAATATGATTCGCGAACCGACCCGTTCCGAAAGCACTCGACATCTTTTAATGTGGGTCTACCGCGAACGCTGTGAATACATTTTGTATGCGTCTTGAGCCTGGATTACACCATGCCATGCGCTCATCAGTCAAAGCGTCGCGCATGCGTGATAAGGATGTGACTGATTTGCAACTATACGAAAATTAAAAGAAAAAAAGCCGGATCTTCAACTCGGGCGATTCCTTTGGAAAGCCCGAGTAAAAAAAGAAACTGTTAAAAATACAACCAAAAACATTTACCTAACTCTAGATTCCCTGAAGTAGTAAATCGCCGCCATTATTAAGACAAATAATAACACCAAACCGATCACTACTGCAAGTACAGTCCAGATATCCGGACTGTCAAGAGAACGATTAACAACATGAGATTCAATCTCCTTGGCCTCCTCGCCTGAAGAAAAAAAAAAAACGATAACAAGGAAACATTGTTATCTTGCCGCTTGGCTGATTCAATTCCCACTATTTCACCTTTTAATCTCACTACAGACTCCAAAAAGTCAGTTTTTCCGCCCACTGCAAAAAGGATTATTCTACGTAACGTTCAAATGCAACACACAACGACTAACCTTCCAGGGGCCAAGGAACACTTTTCGGTCCACATCCCTCAGCTGTGCACATACTGATCTGAGTTTGGTACGCAACATAGCGATTTAATCCACGTATAGTTGCTTCAGTTGCCGAGCTGTTGTTAATTTGCAGGCTCTTTGTGGAGTTGGGGATTGGAACCGACGAATCGTTTCGCTTTGTGGTCTGCCAGTAGTCTATGTTGAACTTATTAGGGACGCCATTCCACGTATACAGAGGCGGCAGCTGTGGACGAGGAAAGTTATTTGGTAATTTAGTCCTACGTTTACACAAAGGTATACATACCGGACGAGAAGACATGCAAGGATATCTGTGCTGAATTTGAAGTTCAAGAAATTTAAAGGTATATTTTGCTCCCTTAAAAGTGTAGGGAGGTGGGCATTACCTGCCACACAACAGTAACATCCCGTTTTTCTTCGTGAGTGTTAGACACTGACCAGTTGTTGAACTGTGGAGCTTGAGTTGGTACTGAAGGAGATCAATTAAAATACATGAGAATCCAAAAATATAACCAAAGAAGCTCAATTTTGGGGAGCATTATCAGGACTGACTAGTCAGATCTGGACATATTCCTGTCATGCCTCAGTCCTTTGAACTTACCACAGTAACTTGTTTATCAAGATAAAAATACCAGAGCTGAGCATTGCTGTAAATTGTAATCAGGTGAGTGAGTGAACTTTGTTTGAAACAGGGTGGCCCATTCAGCTATGAGGCTGTTGTCCAGAGGGGCCCTGTATACACCTTAAATCATTACAATATTGTAATAAATTATAATGAACACTTGTTATCTGAAAAACTTGTGGTCTAAGAAAAATTAAAAAAACACAATATTTATAACCAAATTCTAATAAACACTAGTAAGCTAAGACCATATGATATTATAAAAAAAAAAAAAACAAACAAAACAAAACAAAGGAATACACAAGTAGAACTGGATCTATATTACAAGATACAGATTTTTCAAACATTAGCACACAGTAAAAATCTATGCAAAATTGTGTTTCATCACTAGTCGCTGAAAAGCCTTCAGAGACACTGTATGTTTCGGATGACAAGTTAAATAAAATCGCTCCAGAGTATCTAAAAGTTCTCTTTCTGAGGCTTAGTTTGGGTCTTGAAGAATGAATGTCTTCAGGCCTTCATGTATTGTAACTATTATTATGGAAATTGTGGTTGCTTCTAAAATAATCAGAAAGATACTGGGGCACTAAACTATTAAGACATTTGTAGTCCAAGATGGAACAATTAAGAAAAATTTGGTAAAGGAAATCAACTGAAATTTATACAAATACTGATGACACAATTAAAAGTTGGAACAAAATTAGTTGCTGAGCTAAACCAACCATCCTCAAGAGTTCGGACAGTAACAGGCCCATCCAATAATCCCCAGCCGCGTTGACACCCCAAGCTACATTGGATATAAAACTTGTATTCTGTGTATGGAGAAAGGTCATCAATGGTCCGTGATTCACTACCCAAGGCCATTTGTAGTGACTGAAATTCAACAAAAAGTAGAGAGAAGTTGGAGACTAGTAGTCAGTTAGCCTCAAGGACAAGGAAGAAGTGGGGGTCACGAAAAACAAGAGATCATGAGATCTCAGAAGTTGGAGGGAACAATCAAAGTTTCTGAAGCAAGGAGGAAGGGAATAAAAAAATATATGGGAGGTGAAAGGACATTTTTTTGAAGTAGCGAGTAAAAATCATTGAAGGGTTTTAAAATACTTTTGGATTTGGCTACATGTAGACCATAAAGCAGCCACTGTGAAACAAAAGAAAAAATGCTGAAATTTACCTCATTGAAGTTTTCATGTGCTGCAGCATACCAAAGTTTATAACACAAGATATATTTCCCCATAAAAGGTGCAGGTCTCCATGAAAGTGAGATAGTTCTTTTTCCAATTGCTTTTGCTTTCAGGTTTTGAGGCCTTGTACAGTGCACTACAACAAATTGATATGAGAACAATACAACAAAGGATATACAACAGACTAGCAAAGTTGTGATTTAGAAAGATATGACTGCCCACTAGATGTCCTTGTATGCAAATAACCAGATGAAAGCTACTAAATAGGGATCACTATGGTAGGATTGGGGTTCTAACCAAGAAGTGTTTGACAGATAAATAATAATAAACTTTATTTAAAAATAAGTGTCACTATTATGAGCTAATCAGGGACACTATGAAATAAATAGATACATCTGTACAGAACTTTATAGGCCTTATCACCAAAATATGAAAAAATGTAACATAGACATGAACAAAGATAAAAAATGAAATTAAATTAATAACCAACTGTGCCACACCCAGGTTTGAGAAAAGGGGAATTCCCTTGCAGTAAAAATACAATTTCAACTAGGAAGATAATAAGAAGAAAGTAAAACAGTAACCAGAGGATATTTATTTGTCAAACACCATATTCTTACTGCTAAAAGTAAAAGAAACTTATTAAAAACACTGTGGATGATCTATATTTACATTTTAGGGGTGCAAGGGTTAACCCTTGCACTGCCAAGATCTCACTAGCAATTCTCCTTAATGTCTGCTATACAATTCTTTGCATGTCAGTTGGGAGAATTTTGTATTGGATCAACTAAAAATCCCCTTGTTGATATTTGTCTTTATTCTCAACACTTGTCTGCTTGATACTGTATTGATATTGCAAGGAGAAATTCTGTCTTGGTCACTCATGGCAGTGAAAGGGTTAATTAGAGTAGTACCAACCACTATGGTAGGATTGGGGAATTAAATTATTCCTCTGGGGAATGTTTGAAAAAATGGAAACCTCTTACAATCATTCATTTTGTACTCTTGAATGTAAATTAAAATTAGTCCTTCTTTTAAATCGAAGTGCACTGTGTAAGGCAAACAAAAACAAGGAAGATACATGTCACTGCTGGATGTAACTTTAGAAGTGGGTTGAGAGGTGACCATAGCCTGTTCTAAATTGCTTTTGGAGCAGTTGTTGGTGGGTACTTGTTTTCAATAATTACAACAGATTTTGGTTAAGTGAAGAGCAACAGATGTTTGTTGACCAAATTTTGGCATTAACATTGAGTTGTTATCAAGGGCTCCATTTCCAGTTGAAACCTGTTGATCTACTTCTATTGGCAGAGTTTCATGTGGGACAGTTGGTTTTATGGTAATTAACATTTTCTGCATCTCACTCATCTGATAATTGTAAGTGGTGTGCTGCACCAGGCCAAGGTACAGCTAGTTGGTTAAAAAAAAAAAAAAAAGAAAGGTTAAGTCTGTTTATGAGCCAAGTGGCCCATCAGGCTAGCACTTAACTCCAGTTTCTGTGTAGCATGAAGTGACTAGGAGTATTTCTACTCTCCCTGGATGGGTTGATTGTCCATCACAGGATTACCCCAGCATTAAATTCGCAGGTGGGTGAAGAGAGGCACTGTGAGGGTAAAGTGTCTTGCCCAAGAACACAGCAAAATGTCCCCCACAAAGGCTCAAACGGGGACCACTCAATCTGGAGTCAAGCGCACTAACAATGCACCACTGTGCCTATCCCTTTGATGTAATTGGTTTCCTCAGGCTACAATTCTGACTACAATACCAGGATAGTATCTGCAAAGTCTTTTTTTTTTCAATGAGTTTGTTTTAGTCTAGATTCCTTATTAAGGCGTTTTCCTCTCTACTTTACCTTTACTTAGTAGGCGGCACGATAATCGGTGACTTATGAAGACTCCAGATGAATTTCTTAACTCCACAATATAATAAAATTGAAAAGGGAAAAGTGATTCTTCAGTCATTCTACATTGTAACTCTTTCTGTAATTGAAGCTGTGTCATGTTCAACATGCAACCAAACCGATATTGTTCACTTGATGGGCGAATGCATCCTTGAACCCTAGGACAATACGATATTCTGTACTTAACCAAAGATGAGGAATTCCTCTGTGCAAGTGGTTTCCAAATAATGTCAACATCCTTTAACCCAAAGGTACCTTTACAATATGATTGTATTTTGACATCTGTTAAAGAAAAAATTAAACAAATGAATTTATAACTTTTATTTCTTTTAACATAAAAGAGCAGTATTAGGTAATAGTGGTGAGTAATGTAATAGGAGACAAAGCTACAGCTGAAGAGCCGAGGAAAATTTTTTAAGCACCAGCAACATTATTTTGCTATTACATAAAGATGATTCATTTCTCTCCTCGCAAATGCTACTTTCCTACAGCAGGGTTTGTGCTCTTTTTCAGAAACAAATTTCAAGGAATTTTCCAGGACTTTTCTAGGCTCAGATTGATTTTTCAAGGACTCCACATTTCATCTTTAATTAAACCTGTCATTCACAAGATTTCCAAATCAATTCTCCTCCTTACAGTCAATACCGCCTCCCAGTTTGCTCAATGGATAGAGCGCTGGACTGTTGTGCGGGAGGTCAACGGTTTGAGCCCCGGCGGGACCAACACTCAAGGTCTTAAAATAATTGATAAGAATATGCTACCTTTCTATAACATCAAGAAATGGTTAGATATTCTAGTCTTCTCGGATAGGGACGAATAAATGGAGGTCCCGTCTCCTGCAGGGTTAGGGGTAGGAGACGTTAATTTCCCACGCAGGAGATTACTGCGTGATGGATGTCCTCCCCTGGGGTGGGATGGGTGGGTTTCACAGGGCCCCATTTAACCAAGCTATCTGCTAAACTGGGCTACCCTGTATAAATATTTGTAAATATAATAACAAATATTCGTAAATACAATACAATTTAAGACACATTTCTTGTAACATAAATTCTGAAAACTTTATTGCTTGATTTAAGCAAATTTCCAGGACTATCCAGAACCTGCAGTCTTTTTCCAGGACTTTCCAGTCCTGGAAAATGTCAAAATAAAATTCCAGGATATTATATATACAAGGCTAAAAAGATTAAGAAAAATTATTAAAATGTTAAAACCAAACGTTTTTGGCTGTTTGCCATGATGATCAGCCGAAAACGTTTGGTTTTAACATTTTAATATTTTTTCTTAATCTCTCTAGCCTTGTATATATAATATCTTTTATTAAGCGAACATTATGGATAAAATTTCAGGACTTTCCAGGTTCTCCAGGACCCATATGAACCCTTCTAATGTAAAATTCCCTTCAAACTGCTTAATCAAACCATAAATTGGGCAGTGACAAGAAAGTCTATACAAAGTAAGCATGAAACAATTCTTTTATGTTGCTGCAAACTACGGAATGAAATCAGCACACTGCACACAGGATAACGAAGAACTACACGTATCTGTCAAATACTTTTGTCTACGGCTACTGTGGAAAATAACTCCTGATCCGGTCTGAGAGTAGAGAGTTGAGTATTTCTACTCCTGAGTATCAAAAAGATTTCATGCGCTAGTTAAGTCGCCCTTTAGCTCTGCTGATTAACTGCACATCATATCGTACATTATTTACAAGTTGCGAACAAGTTGACAAAGTTTGTCTTGGAAACTTTAGTTTCTGATGGAGAAGATAAATTCATATTCAGGAATATTTGACTAACAGTGAGCTAGATTACATTCCTCACCCCACAACAAACATAAGCATTAGAACGATGTTGTGAAATGAGTGAAAGGGCGGCTTTATAGCAGATCTTGTGGTTGGACAATCGCAAAACTTGCCTAAATCTACTCGTCACAAATACTGAGCTCTAATCAACTTCTTCTCTCACCTTAAAGTAAAAAATCTGTAAAAGAATCCTAAGTTGTACCTCCTCTCCTCGGTAGCTGGTGTTGTTTTGCATTAATTAAATTAATAAGTTCACCACAATTTGCCGCCATATTCATCAAGAAATGAGCTTTATTTTTATGTCTTCAGCCGCTGGTCATACGAGTGTCGTGGCGTATAACACTTGAATGACACGACTGACACGACGACACGATCATTCAAAAGAATTGAACTAAATTTCAAAATTTGACAAAGAAATTGGCTTGAAAATTGGGTCGATTCGTTTAGATTTAATTTTACCATTTTTTCTATGGAAACTACTTTTCTTTTCGATGCATTCTTTTGAGCCATGAGTAATATTGATTTGAATAAGTGCTTCCAGCTAAATATTCGAAATTCATGTCATTAATTTCAGTTAACATGTAGATCGCTGAAAAACACTTACTGTGCCTTAAAATTATCATTTTTCGAATAGTTATCATCCAATTTAAATTAAAATGAGTCAAGCAAGAACTTTTATTTAGGGTAGACATTTCCCAGAAAATTCCCCATGGAACAACTTACCTTATTTTTGGAATTTTCATTCAGACATTTGCGCGTGTTTCATTGAACATTAACTTAACAGACACGCGCTAATTTTTTGTTTCTTGAATAGTCTGAAATAACGACTTGAACGACCGTCTTAGATTTTCAAAATAGTCACTGCTCTTGACTACGAAGGTGTACCTGTTTTGTACATCTACATTGTCAGATATCGGTTTGGCCAGTTCGTCAGTTATCGTTGCATCATCGAAGGAAATCGAAACGTGCTCTGTCGCCATTAATGCTGTTAATAATCGTATAAACTTTACTGGTTGTTTTAGGTTTCTTACAACGCGCTCCAATCGCAGGCATGAGCGAAAAACTAAAAATATTTTTGTGGGGATCCCTTACCTGTGTGATTTATTTCCGCTTCGATGTGAAATACTAGAAATATAGAACAAAATATGGATGAAAACACTGCTAACTTCGCCATCTCTTGCGTCCTGGCGGTGGAAATAATATTAATGCATTTCTCGTGTTGTTTATATCTTTTATACGCTCTGACAACACATACTAACAATATTTGTTCGAGGGATTTTCCCCAGCTTCTCGCGCGGTCACAAGTATTATTAGCAATGAGTTTAATTTTCCATGGAATTTAAGTTACAGAGAATTTCACGATAAAGCAAATATTTCATGCATTCTTAATTAATTCATTGTTGGCTTGAGGCCGCTTTGCCAGCCGAAATGGACGCCTTTCATTCTAGTACAATTGAAGGACACGCGTAAAAAAGAAACAAAAAGACAAAAAACAAAAATAGCATCGTTTTCTTCCTACAGGGAGATTTACATAATTGTTAGCGCTAGCGTCTCCAAAATTGACAGCGAGCAAAGACAGCAGATAAATTCAGCCTCAGTTAAGGCTGTTACACTTCATTCTGGACAAGATTCGTGGTTATAATTTGTTTGATTGGAGAAATCCAACAACCATAAGTCGCGCTCTTCTGCAGTGCCTCGTTAAAGATTCCACCTGTTTGATTTCCATAGAAATGTTCATGTGTTTTGTTTCATTGCCTAGTTTATTTTCGTTCTTAAGGTAACTAGTCAAAGAAGGGAGACTGAAGATCCTATTTTGCGAATCACTCTTAAATTTCACTCCAATTTCTCACAAAACGACGCCCGTGGAAGGCAATTTGACACCCTTTTCTTAATAGGCTTGGCCATTAGGAAGAACTGGTGGCACAGGAAGAAAATGTGGGGGAGGGAGTACCAGTCGACTTTTTTTCCCCTTAATCGTGTATGAACGAATAATCATAACTATGCGTTTATCAAAAAGTAAAGTGCGCTGTATTGCTCTTGACATCCAAATTTTTCGGATAACGTGACAATTTGTATTCAGTGTCTTTGGGAACTGAAATTCCACTTTTTAAAAGGCGTGGAGGAGGAAGCAAATTTTCACATTCTCCGGAAGCGAAACTACTGGTCTTAGGGCTGATTAAAGCAACGGGGTTGATCAATTGTACGTCTGAAGGATTATGCATATCTATGTAACTCCGTGAACCATTGTCTACTCCTGTACTCAGTTCAAAATTTAAGTCAGGTACACGTGATAGGCTAACATGATGGAAAAAGGTTAATCATAATTTGCAGATAGTCTGAGAAATTGGACTCAACAGCATAAACAAATTCCAATCTTTCCACCCCTCCCACCCCTCCCATCCCTTTTACCCGTAGCAGCTGTCTGTTCTCTGCGTTAGGCGTCGGTCTCAAACCTGCTGACCTGCTGTCGTAAATTGTTTGACTTCGTTGTTTACATAGCAAGGCTAAAAGAAGGGATTCAAATAACCTTTCACGCTGGTAACAATGATGCACACGCTACACGTGCCCCACAGAGAGCCAAAAATATCAATTTGCAATTGTTTTTAATTCCTGTAATGTCAAAGCCGAGAGGTAAAGTGTCGTGGAATTGTCTAAAAGCATCACTTGTATCCTCACGATCCGCGAACTGGATTCAACTCTTGAGTCCACCCTGTTACAAAGATAATCATTCGCGAGTGCTTTTAAGCTTTATGTCCCAAGTTGCACGCTTCTTTTATGAATAATGAATAAGTCGCGCTGTGAATAGATACAAAAGGATGGTTCAAAATTAAACCAAGTCGGTATTTTTTTATCATGCGGAGAAAAGGAAAATGAATGAATTATTATCGAATTTGCTACTTTAAAAGATGAAACTGACCCATGCCCCGATGCTGCTCTCCTCAATCTCAGCTTTTAATCAAACTATCACTTGTATCAGGTGCTATTGCCCGTATGGCACCTATTTTTCAGAAACTCGGGACGATTCCAATAATCATTTAGAAACGAGCTCTATGGAGTTCGATATGCTTTGCATGCAGATGAGAAGGTGGCTTTAAAGTGTGGGACTTTGTAATTGTGATGTCACGCTTCCATGGGGAAAGAGGGGACTTGAGTGACATAACCTGAAAGAACGACTGCAGTGTCAAGCTCGCTGCCACAGTTTCTCTTCTTCCCAACCTGGGAACGAGGTTGACTGGTTGTCAGTTGGAGCACTGACTAGCAATTGCCACAAGGTACAGACGTTTCAGTCAATAAGATTACAGCGCGATGTATGAAAATACTTGTTTTATTTTATCCTGACGCCGTGCTTTCAAAAACTCTGTAGGAGATCAGTGTATACTGAAATTATGTGCACCAGTTCTGAGTTAAAACTAATTCTCCAATAAATAAAGGTTTCGTTGAATGCTGCAAAGTCTTTATTATATTAACTGTTGTGCAGCGTCGGCTACAGAGGGAAACACAACAAGATTAGTTAAAAACGTAATTATAAACGCTGGGCGATCTAAAAAATAAGTGCTTGGTGCCATAATCAGCAATAGCGAATCGAAGGTAAAAAAAAAGACACGGTTTTTAGTGCATTCTTCTCCGTTACAGTACGTTTCCAAATTGAGAACAGTGGCGAAAAGTGAGAAGCTCTTGGTGAGAGTTGGCATCAATCTAGGGTGGGTGGGTGAGTTGGGTGGGTGAGTTGGGTGGGTGGGTGAGTTGGCATCAATCTATAGAACCGGACCGATAGACAATTAAAAATTTAGTTTATAATTCCAGTTGCCTAATTCAAAAGTTCCTAGGCGATCAGATTACCACTAATAGTCAACTAGAAGTTAGAATCGAAAAAAAAAAAACCGCATGGGAGACAGAGGTGAGGAAGGGAATTACACCGCTACGCCGTTTTTTTTTTTCGTCAAACAGAACAGCTCAAGTTCGTTCGCTTACTCTTATATACTGTATTTGCTCAATTAACGCCACCTCATCCATAAAAATTTATAGCATTTTCTATGCAGCGTATAACCATAAGCGACGTTTAGTTCAAAATCCTATTTCTTAACTTACTGACAACGATGACGATAAACCCTTAGTGAAAAGCAAACTCATATAAGCTTCCTTAAACCCTTTTTTAAACACAAGTTTCTTAAATAGTGTAGATTCCGTGTTGCACCCTACTATATAATCTTAGAATAAACGCGCATACTTCTGAATGGTAGGCATGAACTCCAGGGCAGTGTTTTACTGCAGTGTAATTTTGCCTCCATCGATCGACGCCATTTAATCATGAATAGGTAAATACGAGATTTATGGCACAAATTTCCCAGTAGGCTTCGATATGAAGTGCTCGTTTTTCTAAATCGCGTCTCACCAATTCAATCTTCACAAGAACTTTAAACATCAGCTGTGTCGTGCTCTGACCTCATTGATGCATTGGGCGCAGGCTCAGGGGTTTTCATTTGCACGTATTCGTTCTTGTCGCCGCCGAGCAGAGGCGAAGTGGTTACGTCATAAGTGTGGCTGTCCTCTCTTTTTTCTGATCCAGTATCGCTTTCACACGAAATTGAACTCGGAGGCTGGATAAAAAATGAGAATGTATTAGATCATGTAATAACCTGCCGATGTAAGAGCTCACAATTTAATTAAGAATACCCAAGTTTGAGTGAGAAACGCAATGACCTCTGTCGATTATTTAAAGTGTTTCGAGATTATGTAGAAACTATTTGTGGGTAACCCATAAGTTGTGGTGTGAGGTTTCCTCAGAGTCTTCTTTCAATCTGAAATATTACGTTATTTTCCGTTGGTTTCATCCACAACACTTTAAAATCTGATGAGCAAGTGAAAATTATTGCCTATGCACAATTTCACCCCTAATACGCACAGATCGAATGCTCTGGTGCAAAACCTGGCTGGATCACTGTGTTGTGTTTTTAATCAAGGAAGGGCATTCAAACTTCACAGCGCCCTCCTGCTCACAGGGGTATAAATCAATGCCAATGAGCTTCTACAAAGAACAAAACATTTCTTGGGCGACTGAAAATCAGAAGACACAAAGAGAAAGACGAAAGCATTCTGCACTTCCCGAACATCACATTTCTGGGGATTAACACTCCTAGTAGGGATTGGTTCCGGCAGCCATGCAAGCAAGTAACGTAGGAAGGCTTCCCAAAGATAGATTGGGCAGAAAAGTCAGACTCATACGTATAACAATGGTTAACTATGGCGGGCCATTCTAGGATGATTGCTCGATATATAATATCGCCCCAAGTAGAGAAAATAAGAGCGAATTCAGCAAAGTGTACTCACTGAAATTGCCATTTTGACCAACTCAAAAGCTCCTTTCAACTCTACGATAGAACTTAGAGCGGATTTTCCAAGTTTATAATTGAACCACTACAGGTATTCTAAAATTTAGCAATTAATTCAGGTAGAAGCTCCTCCATTTATTTTCCAAAGCCTTAAAGAGATACACCCAGTTTCAAAATAATAGTAAAAAAAAACTGAAACGAGGTTAGAGATTACCGGTAATTTTCCAAGGACATATTTCAGTGATGGTACGCCTTCTCCTCTACGTCTCCTGTTAAAAATACGCTCGTTATCGTTAAAACAACCAGAAAATACTGAATGGAATAAATCATATTTGAACTGCGGGTGATAAATCAGGAACCGATTCCCGACATAAATTGTCCCAACTCAAGTTTACTTTACGAGCTCTCCAGAGCTCCACCCACCGACAGCATATCAAGAGTCACTGTTCAGCCGAGAATCAAGCGTTTTTATGTTTTTTAATAGTCAGATAAGGGGTTAAAACATCAGTTCTTAAATGTGTTCTTGTCAACTTGCTGGGCCCTTGGCAAAGTTTTTCGGGATCTTGACGGAAGTAAACACTCCATGGACCTACCATGAAATTACATCCTAGTCTTCCGCCAATGCCCCCCTCCACCCCATCACGAAGGGGTTGTCAAACAAGACTCCTCTGTTCTTAGATACTTAGCCCAATTTAACCACCATACCACGGTAGATAACCATCCGCACGAAAGTTTGTTATTCGAGTTTTAATATCTTTACAGACGCGAGGGGAGGAGCGCAAAAAATATAAAGGTGATTTTTCCGTTAACATAGGATAACGTACCTGTGCCAATAATAGGCCATTACAGTTAAACATCCAACACAGAGCAGTAACCCCAACACGACACCAATGATGTAATAATTATCTCCTTGTTCGATCGTACGTGGAACATGGGTTCCATCTAAAAAAAAAAAACAGTAAAAAATACTCGTTAAAGACCGCAGAATGTTACAAATTGAAAAGTAAAGTTTTCCTTCCAAATTCACCGAGCCCAATTAAACCCGTGTTAGATGTCCTCCGGTTTTGCCACATATCGTTTTGCCTCCCGACCTCTTTTTTGTATATAAAGCATATGTTGCGTTTGAATGATCAGCATAGCGAGTTTTCCTTCTTCTTTTCTCGCGGTCTACGAAAGCGTCGTTTGTTGCCCACTCGGAAAGCATTTTGATACCATTTTTTCTCAGCCGAATCCTCAACTGTTTTTGCAAGGGGTTCATAATTTACTAGCCTGCTTGCAAGCGGTAGCTCGTGATTTTAAGGGCGAGATTCAGCGCGGCGAATATTCCGTCGCGATATCGGACGAGTGGAAAGTCTGGGATGATTGGCAAAGCGAGGAGGAGGGGGGAAAGGGGACAAAAACCAGAAACCTCCCCTTAGTATCATAAAATACCTGAGACAGTACGAGCACCCTGATTGGTCAGAAACCTATCGTTGAAAACAACAGCTAGTAAACTCATAGGACATTGAGGTTTTATTTTATAGACGGCATATTGTATCGGTTTACCGGCGTAATAACCCACTTGGAATGTTGGAAGAACACGTGAAAAGTTTGTAAATCAGGAGCTGGAGGCGGGTGATTTACCAACTTTTCTCTTGTTCTCCCAACATTCAACGTGGGTTATTACGCCAGTAAACCGATAGAATGTGCCTAACGCATTCTACGCTCTTCCAAAGAACGGCGCGACCTTAATGGCCTTTCAAGGAAAACAAACCTGTATGATACAGTCTTGGTATGAAGAGCAGTTGGCTAGGAGGCCCCCCAGCATTCAAGGAGGGTTATTACGCCAGTAAACCGATAGAATGTGCCTAACGCATTATACGTTCTTCCAAAGAACTGCGCGACCTTAATGGCCTTTCAAGGAAAACAAACATGTATGATACAGTCTTGGTATGAAGACCGATTGGCTAGGAAGTCCCCCAGCATTCAAGGAGGGTTATTACGCCAGTAAACCGATAGAATGTGCCTAACGCATTATACGTTCTTCCAAAGAACTGCGCGACATTAATGGCCTTTCAAGGAAAACAAACCTGTATGATACAGTCTTGGTATGAAGACCGATTGGCTAGGAAGTCCACACCCCACGCTGGTGCACATTTCTGCCGTCACCTCATACACCTCGTCCTGGCGTAGCTGTTTTAAGGTGCCATTTGTCATGGAAACATTGCTTAACACAATCACACGACGGATGTTAGCTTCAGTAACGTTACTGTTTGCTAGCCAATAACGTAGCACAATGTGAGTGATGTTACCATTCCATGTGCCACTGTCGGGAAGCTGTGGGATTAAAAAATTTCAGGTACTTGAGTTAGCGATGTTCTAACTGATTGATAACGAAGAAAAAGAGTAAAATTTGTAACAGATTTTAAACTTAAGGGAAGGAGACAGCTATCAATGTGTTAAAGTGCACCACTTTATTATATCTCTCAGTTAGTAAGAGCGCTATGATTGATCAACTAAGCGGGTTGTATTTCGCGATATGTATATATACAGTGGCAGATACAAACCTAGACCTTGAGCTATGGGGAAGAGGGGGTGTACACCTGCCGGCTTTTCTTCCTTCTGCCTTTTTTTTTTTTTTTTTACCCAAAATAAGGGGAGGGGGGCGCGGGTCCACCGGGCCCCCCTCCCCTGGATCTGTCACTGATATACGGCCCGCTACATTCACAAGTCTGTTTGAATTAAGATCTTCCCCTTCTATTCGAACCCCGATATATGATAAATATCTTACTACCCTCGTTTTGTCAGTCGGTATATATATCTTATTAACCAAGCGCGAGGGCCGTACTGGGAGAATATCAGCCCGAGGTCTTGACAGTACGGACCGAGCGCAGCGAGGTCCGTACAAAAAAGACCGAGGGCCGATATTCTTCCAGTACGGTCCCGAGCAAGCTTGGTTAATAAGAGATTTATTATACGACTGAAGTTCAAAGGGACACGGTATCATGATTAGGGACCATTCGGGACAGTGTCCGGTCCAATACTTAGAGAATATTGGACCGGAAATAGAGCATTTTGATTGGTTGATTTTAGTGATTGGCCCTCTGACTGCCCGAGTCGCGTAATAATGTAAGTTACGGAACCTAGTTTCTTTCACTCGGATTCATTGCCCGCGCGCTATGCGCTTGGGCCATAAAAACTCGATCCGTACCTTGCAGTACGTAGGGACAAAGAACTCGGTTAGAGGTATGTACATCACAGAGACAAAAACACACAAACACACAAAAAGTAAAGATACAAACAGACAAAGGCTGAGAAACGAAACAATATCTACAATCTGTAATTAAATAACAAAGTCGAGAAAAAAGAACATACGATGCAGATGAACGCATCAGTAGAGGATGACGCAAACAACTCAAATTGTGTGTGTTTTAGGTTATGGTTTTACAGTACAAGTATGCGATATAAATTAGAACGTAAACTCCTGCAACCTCCATGAATCACTAAACAAAAGTCAAAGAATGAAATTAATAACAAAGGGCCCTATCACTAAGTGATTGCCCGATAGTATTTTATGACTCACTCTGAAGACAAATCGTAAGGAAATCGCTCCATTAGATTTCCTAATCCAAGGGCTATTTACAACACTTGAATATTAACACAGAAAAACACATGCATCTATGACACATACCTCCCAATGAAGAGTAACATCTCTGTACTGTCCATATAGCCTTGTGTTTGTGGCATTTTCCAAAAATTTAGGATATGAGCTGGGGGCTACAATGAACGAAAAGAACAACTGTAGTATAGCAACTGTACTACAGGCCCTCATTATTTAATAGTTATTTACAAAGATAAAGTTAATCCTGTTGAATAATCCCCAAAACAACGTTTTAGTATTATAATAATTGCTTGATAGGTGCTCTTGATTTCTGTTGCAAATAGTCAAGTCAGCATTGCAGGACACATGTTTCTACACCTGCTGGGAGATTTGAGATGAGCCGGGAAGAGGTTTGGTGGGATCCAGGCACTTTTCCATGCTAGACCTCTTACAGACCCCTCACAGCTTAATATAGCTTAAGGCCTCATAATTTCCGGCAGGTGAAAAGACACTCATGTTTACAGACTACTGAAGTCTCTACAGTGTACATGAGAGGTAAAAAGAAAAACTGTGGACTTCGTTACCTTTTTCCCCGGTCCTAGCTGAGAATGGGCCCACTTCTTCTCCCTGAGTAGCTTTTGAGGCCACTATAGTCTGAATTGAGCAAGAGATGTAGATATGATACCAGGTATATGGGTGAAGACCACTGATGTTCCTTCTCATAGTCTCATTTGAAAATTTTTTTCTTATCACCTTGATACAATAAAAGTAACAACTGATAAACAAATTATATGACCAAAAGCTACTTGATAACTTCAATAACTAGTTTTTGGAACTGGACTCACCAACTCACAACAACTTCAATTTATAAGGATTCTCAATTATGCACTGTAAGTGTCAGAGATTATAAATGATCATTATAAATCACTTATGATGAGTTCCAAAATGATAGTGAAGGAAAAAAAATGAAAAATCAAAGCAATATTTGGTATCCCACACTTCAACTTATTCTTGTGTGAAAAGGACTAAGAGATATTTATTATTACTATATACTAAAACAGTGGATAACATTGAAGGCAGCTCTGATTGGCTAGTCAAACTCTGAATATCCTTTGCTATTTATAAAATGGCGTCCCGCCGGGTTTGCATCCGTGACAAGTGAAGAAATCTCTCAAATCAATTTTTGGTGGTGTATATTATCTCACTGTATATAATAATATACATGAAAAAAATTCTCAGTTTTGATTGGTTAAGATGAATGCAGTTTTCAGTTAATTCAGTGCAGAAGAGAGTTAATTCAGTGCAGAAGAGAGTTAATTCAGTGCAGAAGAGGGTTAATTCAGTGCAAAGAAAGAAACAAACCAGACATTCTGATTGGTCAGAATGATTGGTCAAAGTCAATGTCAAGGTCAATGTCAATGTCAAGGTCAATGTCAAGGTCATTGTCACTTTTATTTTTGCACGTGATGCGTGCACTTTTCTTCTGCGTAGTTACAAGAAGCCACCTTGTATTTTTTCATGTATATTATTAATAGATAATCGCATGATTTTTTCATGCAATTTGGAAAAAATAAGCACTTGTAAATTTTTTCAAAGACCACAAATTGCACTCACCCTATGGGCTCATGCAATTTTGTTAGTCTTTGAAAAAATTTACTTGTGCTTATTTATTCCAAATTGCACTCAAAATCATGTGATTACCTATACTAATAAAAAAACAACTATTCACCTCAGTGTCGGTGGTTAGCAGTGGATATTTATCTCACCGCTTCACGGCTTGGTAAACACCCATCACTTACCGCCTCCACTTCGGTGAATAGTTGTTATATAACTACACATTTTATTAAAGAAATGAATCACTTACATATGTGAAAGCATTTAAAACCCTTCACTTCCAAGAGTGACTACCAACTAATTTCACCACTGAATCACACATTTATGGGTCACAAGAATAAAGCAAATGATCACCAACTAAAGAAGCTCTTGTTTTTTTTTCAACAAATTCTCCTTGTCAGCACGAAGGAAATGTGTACATCTAACAGTACAGAAAATATGCATGGTGATGTTAAGGTGTAAAGGGTTCCTTCTTATTGAGCACTATAGAACCGCCTCCCAGTTAGCTAAGTTGGTTAGAGTGCCGGATTGTGTTGTGCGGGATGTCGAGGGTTTGAGCCCCGGCCGGACCAATACTCATGGTCTAAAAATAAGTGAGGAGAATTTGTTACCTTTCTATAATCAAGAAATGGAAAGATATTCTAGTCTTCTCAGATAAGGACGGATAAACTGTAGGCCCCGTCTCCTGCAGGGTTAGGGGAAGGAGATGTTAATTTCCCATGCACGAGATTACTGTGTGGTGAATGTCCTCCCCTCGGTGGGATGGGTGGGTGTTGGCCCTGAAAAGCCACTATGGGGAGTTAAGTCATGTAATACTATGTAATGTTCGGAACACTTGCGAATCAGTATGAGAAGCACGAGGCATGAGATCTTGGGAGTTAGAAGGTTAATTGTCACTATTTACCTTAATATGTTTAGGAAAATCACCATGGCTGCTACCAGTTACTACACGAATCCAATAAATAAGATTTCCCTGATAATCCTGTGGCACATCCTTTGGAAGATCCCATATCAATGTCACCTGAGTTGCCATTAAGTTGTTTAAACGTATGTTTGCTGGCTTCGTACACTTTACTAGTGAAACAAGATATTAACAGAGATCACTATTAAATCATTATTAAAAAAAATTTATTCTTAATTTTGCCCTTAACTGTATCTTATAATTAGGGGTCATCCACTAGATTAACCTTTGCTATTTGGATGATCCTAACTCGCTACCTATTTTATTGCTAAATTTTTTCTCCTTATTCCTTTGCTGTACTGTGTTTAGTTGCTATGTAAGTTTAACCTACTGTATATATCTTGTAAAACCGAGCTGAGTTAAATAAATCATCATCAAGTCATCATCATCACTGATGTTCACTTGAAACAAAATAATTTTGAAATAGGTGAATAGTACTCCAATTAACATGACATACTTTGCACTTAACATTCACAGAGTGCCAAGCCATACAGGTCATATTGGGGTTGTGCAATAATTCACCTACTTAGATAAGTGGGCTGTCATACCTTCTGTCCTACAATAAATGCCTTAAAATCAACATCTACCCAGTACCTTTTCTCTCGTCTGATATTGATGAATGATGTAAAGTTTTAATAAACAATCATTTCTCATATCAATAAGAACATTCTACTGACAACAATCATTCACTTGACTCTGATGATGACTTCCGCACAGGTTGTCGAAACATCAGTTACTACCACCGAAACAGTCCTTCTCAGGACTACACTCACCAGGATGATCAGACTACACCTTCACAATCATTTCTCTGCTGACACAATCCTTGAAAACTATTTGTCACCACCACCTGGTACAATTATTATCAGTAATCATCAGGCATGTATGTTAATACAACTATGACTTCTATCTTTTGTCTTTTTGAAAAATTATAAACATTGCTCATCATCAACATATACCTGGGTGGTATACAGGACATCGGACTTGTTTACTAATGATTTCATCATCCATATTTGCTATTCCAATGGCCAAAAAAATCCATAGATGTGGGATATTTTCATTATCACTAAACAGCTTTGGAAATACTTTCTTGTAGAGGGATGTAAGATTGAATTCCATGACCATCCCACCATTTGACTTTGGGATTATAGGACAGCCGCTGAAAATGCTGTAGCCGCTGGGAGGATGAAAACAATCCAAATTACAGTAAAAAATTTGGTAAGTGAAAGGTCGTTGAACAGCTTGATGGTCAACCAAAGCATTCCAGTGAAGCAAGTCCCTATAATTGGGGGATGCCAAATCACTTGATTCACATACTGCCTTGATTGCCCCTGCAGACAGGAAAACAACCTCTTAGTTGGACATATATATATTATTTTCTAATTAGTTGTACTAATTTTAAACATGGGAACTATGTGTGATCCATTCTACTATCAAGAAGTCAAGTTGAAGTGTTCCTTATGCTATGCTGTAAACCAAGGGATGGATTTGAGTTTAATAAGGCTGTTCAGGAATCCTAAACCAACATACAATACTTTGGATAGGCATAAAAATTCCTTTGATTTACCTGATTTATCACAAATAAAGGGTTGCTAGCCATCAACGTTAACTGTGTTGTAAACCTTGATTAGCTGGCAAACTCCTACCAATTTTGTTATTGTGACAAATTATGATTCTGTAAATAGTCTGCAGCCGCAATATAAACCAAGTGTTGATTTGAGATCTGTACAGGTCTTCAAAATCATTCTGCACTTCATAATTGACATAATTATGATAATTTGGATTGGCTGACTTAATTCCTCCAATTCGTCAAATTTACCAACAGTGTAGGACAGCCAGTCATTTAGTGTTTTGAAAACCTTGATCGGCAGTTGCACCCAAATACATATCAAGTGTCACAAACTGGTTTCATAATATAACTGAGAGAGGCATTAGATCTATGTTCGAGTAGGAAGGGTGTGCAGGATAGCTAGGCATTTCGTGACCAACATATGATAACTTGGAAGACTAGGCTGAGTTCAGCTGATATGTCATTAAATTTACCAAAAGTGTAGGACTACTGGTCATTTAGTGTTTCAAAAGCCTAGCTGCCTGCCATTTAAACACAGTGTTTATTGAAAACTACACGCTAATGTCTATAGAAACCCAGTTAGGACTTCCGCACAGTCCCACACAGTTCTTGGAAATGGCGAAAACAATTGAGCGCGTTTATGCAAAATTCATTCCTAAAATGAAAACAAACCAAATGTAAAGATTAACCTTATGATAAACAAACCTTTAAAACGCAGAGTAGCTACGAATCTATTTATAGGGCTACCAGTATCATTAAATTAAGTGATAATTTGTTGGTCGACATGATCATGCACTCTCACCTCCAACAAAAAGTGTCACATTTGCATCTGCCGGAATTGCTTCGCTAGGGCTGAGCCCAGATGAATTGTATACACCACACTGGTAAATTCCTTCTTGATGACGTGTAACTTTCGTGAGAATGAGCTTCACCGCTCCGACTTCCTGCTTGGTTTGATTGTGAAGCCAATCTCCGTTGTGTTTCCAAGAAACTCGGCTGACGAACAATGGCCTTCCGTGGATTTTACAACTCAGCTTAAGAGTTTTACCTTCTTTGAGGTATTTCTGTGGGGCTGGAACTTAAATGAGTAAAAGTATTGAGCTAGTTTAAATTACTTGAAACCAAGAAACTTGCAAAGAAGCATCGCACATGGATGATCCATCAGTTCTTCAGTAACAAATAGAACGTTTTCGTAGAAATACTTGTCTTTTCGTTATCTCGAACAACAGCAACTGCTGTTTTTAAAATAAAGAAGATAGGAAAAGTTAACTTACCTGAAAGAAACGTTTGATTAGCTCCTGATACATGGTAAATAAGGGCACAACAGACGACTAAAGCCTTAGAGGAAATCAGACGCGCTTCCATCGGCGGAGAACCACTAATCAGAGGAGTTATTGGCAACTCGTTGACAACCGGAAGTGATAAGAAACTGAACAACTGTACCTTGAACAGCGGAAATTTTAAAGATCACGAGGTATGGGATATAACTGTCATATAATGGTTAAATGTATCAGGCAATGATAGAGGTGTCTGATCGAGGATTTGGTGGGTGCCATTTGTCATCGTCAAACACATAGGTACGTAGTATGTTAAAATCCTATCTTTACTACCTGTGAATTTTGTTTTCGTGCACAGTTAAGTGCCACTCCCGCTAAAAGCGGTCCACTCGACTTCCCGTCAAAAAAAAATTTTCCTTAATTTTTTTTCCTATGAAAAGGGTTTGGGACACATATTTCAAAAATAGTTTGGTTGTTTTCCAATTCTCTTTTTTTGCCTCGCCACAAGCGAAAATTGACTTTTGGCTAGACCATCCGTGTAGACAACGATCGAAAGTGTGAATTTCACAGCTTTTGTCGAGCGTGCTGCGACTGCAACAGTGTAGCTCACGGAATTCTCTCTTGCTTCAAGTTACAAGCTATATTCTGTCAGTTCACAGAGAAAATATGGAAACTTCCCTTGAAATCCTATTCACACCAGCGTGATTAGAAGAGACCCTTCCTTTCGACCTTAATTTGCAAATCAAAAATTGACCAATTTAAAACAAAGAATTGCTTTAATGCTTTAAAAAGTTTACTCCTAAAACAGTTAAAACTATACTAGGATTTTTTACAGTATATAACTTATAACTATATTTAAAAGTTTTAAAATAGTGATGACAATAACATAAATAATAACATTGATTATAAAACAATAATATTTCTAAAATAAATAATGAAAATTAATATACACCGCATAAATAAAAGCTCTATTGTCTTTAAATATATAAGGACACATTGGCCTTGAAATCGTCTAGAGAGTTAGGGATTTGAGGTAAGTTCATATTGTTCCAAGTTCTGATAGTTTTGGGGTAGAATGAATATTTGTATGTGTCATTCAGGGTGCAAAGCTGTTGGAATGGTACACAATTTAGGTACCTTGATGGTCTGGTAACTTGCATTATCTCGGATGGTAGCGAGATCCCAACAAGGCCCCTATAGATTTTGTAGAACATGCAGGTTTGATTTATCAGTCTTCGACGTTCCAAAGAATCCCATCCTAGTGATTTAATCATCTGAGAGACACTACTGTGACGAGAGTAATCATTATTGACAAACGTTGCGGCACGTCGTTGGACCATCTCTATCTTATTTACATTGCACTGTTTATATGGATTCCACGCACTACTCGCATATTCTAATTTAGGACGAACAAGCGAGCAATATGCAGTATTCTTTACCTTTACATTGCACTGTTTATATGGATTCCACGCACTACTCGCATATTCTAATTTAGGACGAACAAGCGAGCAATATGCAGTATTCTTTACCTTTACATTGCACTGTTTATATGGATTCCACGCACTACTCGCATATTCTAATTTAGGACGAACAAGCGAGCAATATGCAGTATTCTTTACCTTTACATTGCACTGTTTATATGGATTCCACGCGCTACTCGCATATTCTAATTTAGGACGAACAAGCGAGCAATATGCAGTATTCTTTACCTTTACATTGCACTGTTTATATGGATTCCACGCACTACTCGCATATTCTAATTTAGGACGAACAAGCGAGCAATATGCAGTATTCTTTACCTTTACATTGCACTGTTTATATGGATTCCACGCGCTACTCGGGTATTCTAATTTAGGACGAACAAGCGAGCAATATGTAGTATTCTTTACCTTTACATTGCACTGTTTATATGGATTCCACGCGCTACTCGCATATTCTAATTTAGGACGAACAAGCGAGCAATATGCAGTATTCTTTACCTGGGAAGAACAACCGGAAAGGATTCGTTTAAGAAGGCCAAGGGTAGAGTTTGCCTTGTCGCAGATAATATCGCAGTGTTGATTCCAAGACAAGTTATCAGTGATTGTTACTCCCAGGTAAGTTGTGGAAGGGACTTGTGATATGATTTTACTGTTCATAGAGTAAGTGAAGTAACTGGTATTTTATTTCGAGTTATTCCGAGGTGGTAACATTTGGACACATTGAAACAGAGCTGCAAGGTCCTCGACCATTGGTACAGAAGATCAAGGTCTTGTTGTAGAGTAAGACAGTCCTGGTGTGAGGCTACCTCTCTGTAAAGAACACAATCGTCTGCAAATAGCCGAAGCTTAGATTGGATTGAGTTTGATATGTCATTTATGAACAACAGAAATAGTGCTGGACCCAACACAGAGCCTTGAGGCACTCCAGACACAACAGGTCTTGACGAAGAGTGAGTACCATTAACTGAGACACTTTGCTTGCGGTTTGACAAAAAGGTCCTAATCCAATTAAACATGTTACCCCTGATTCCGTAGTAATCAACCTTTCTAAGTAATCTTTCATGAAGAACAGTGTCAAATGCCTTTGAGAAGTTTAATAGCAACACATCTATTTGGCTACGGAAGTTTATACCTTTGGCCCAGTCGTGTATTGCAGAAATCAGTTGAGTTTCACCGGAAAATTTTTCCCTAAAACCATGTTGATGGTTGATGAGGATATTATGTGAGGACAGATGTTTCGCCATGTGACTGAAAATAATGTGTTCCATTATCTTGCAACAGATTGAAGTTAATGAAATGGGGCGGTAGTTGGCAGGTTCTGATTTATTACCCTCCTTAAAAATTGCTGTCACCAAGGCATTTGTCCAATCAGATGGAATTTCATTGCATTCATGTGACTACTGAAAAATAAACGCTAGCCAGTGAGATATTGATTCAGAAAGTTCCTTTAGTACTTTTGCTGGAATTTCATCCGGTCCACATGCCTTCCTGGGATTCAATTGAGATAATTGCTTACGAACACCTTCTGTTGAGATATGTAAGTTTGGAATGGAAGAGAATGGCGATGTTCCAATATTAGGTGTCAGCAGCTGCTCTTGGGTGAAAACAGAATAAAAGTAAGCATTGAGAGATGCAGCTTTGTCTTTGTCTGATACAGATATTGATGAACTATCATTCTTTAGGGGTCACAGGGATACCAATATTCTCTGACTTGCTATTCCTCACATAGGAAAAGAACTTTCTGGGGTTTTCAGACAAACTGTTGCCAATAACATCATTTAGATAATTGTTGTGAGATTCTTTGATGAGCTAAGAAACCAAATTCCGTTGACGCTTAAAGGCTTCCCAATGCTGTTTGTTTTTAGAGCGAAAAGCTCTTTTGTGCATCTGGTTTTTCTTGCACATTTCCCTTTCAATGTTGGTATTCTCAAAATGCAGGCGTAAATCGGGCTAAAAAAACATATCGGAGGATAGCTTATACACTAAGGAGGTTACCGATTGCCTCAAACCCGCGGGTACTCTCCAGCTTTCATCCACCATCATCTTGAAAACAACGCAAATCAATGTCTTTACTTAAACGCGCACGTGTCAAAGCTCATTTGCATAATTCTGAAAAATGACCGAGATATGTCTTTGACCTTAAACTTCGCTTGTTTGTCTTCTACGTAGAGTATTTTAGGTTTTCATAACCATTAGATGGAAAAGAAATTCGAGTCATCCTAAAACGTTGCATAAACATGATCAGTCGTAAAGCTTGCATGACAAAGTAAACAAAGATATGATGGGAAGGGGTTGTTACGAAAACTAAGACCCCAAAAACTAAGACCTAAGACCCCGAAAACTAAGACACCCCCCCCCCGTCTTTTCATTGATTTTCACTTTTCCGGTGGTTCTTAGTTCTCGTAATTACGAAAGCTCATTACGAAAACTAACATCCCATATTATTTTTCTTGTTTTTCAATAATTTTTTAATAAATAGAATATGTTGAAGCGAATAATAGACAGCAATTAACACTCCGTCTTTTCAATGATTCATGACTTCTCCGGTGAGTCTTAGTTTTCGTAATTACGAAACCTCATTAAGAAAAGACCCCATCTCATTTTTCGTATTTATCAATTTTTTTAAGGTGAGTGGGAGAGTTTATACATCATCTTGATTTGTTGCTTTTGCGGTTGGATAGAAGAACCTTGGTTGCTTTAAGATTAAGTGGGATTTTCTATAACCTTTCCTTGCGTTTCGAAGTATTTTCTCGCGCGACGGGCGATTCTTAAATTTCCACCCACACACTGAGGTATTTTTAGAATTGTTTTGCAATTGTTTTGAATCGTTCTACAATTTTCTATAGGTTACAATCAATTTTTTGAAGGTGAGTGGGAGAGTTTGTACATCATCTTGATTTGTTGCTTTTCCAGTTGGATAGAAGAACCTGGTTGCTTTAAGATTAAGTGGGATTTTCTAGAACCTTTCCTTGCGTTTCGAAGTATTTTCTCGCGCGACGGGCGATTCTTAAATTTCCACCCACACACTGAAGTATTTTTAGAATTGTTTTGCAATTGTTTTGAATCGTTCTACAAGATGCAAAAATAATGGAACTTGAGGAAATTTTTAAATGGAACAGTTCAGACTTGATCAGGGTTTGCCCACTTTATAAGTAGTGTCGTTACTTGTAAAACAGAAAACGTTTTTATTACATTTCAATATTTGGGTGTACGTGGGATCTTAAGCCCCGGCCAAACGAGAAATGTTGCGCCACGCAACAAGACGCAACATTGTTGGGTCGCCCAACATGTTATCATGGAAGAGGGTGGCCAAACGATATCCAACAGCACGCAACATTTTCGTGAATCCATGCGTGACGTATGCGTGACGGCTAAATTGATTTCTCAGAGAAGTTATCTTGCTCTTAATCTCAGCTAACGAGATACCTGGCAGTGTTTCTCGCAGTAAACTAAACGCTTCGATTCTCTTTTCTTTTTTAGATGGTACTCCTTACTACAGACGTCCCACAGACAAAATTGTTGCTCAAAAGTGTCAATCAATATTTGATAAATATGATGCACGATCCTCGCAGCAGATAGCGCTATTTAAGCAATAGCGAAAATCAGACCTGAAAAAAATCAGGCCTGTACGGGACTCGAACCACTGACCTCTGCGATACTAGTGCAGCGCTCTACCAATTGAGCTAACAAGCCAACTGGGAGCAGGCCGTTAAGTTGATTCGTAATAAATCCGTGAAAGTGATAAATGAGATACAATTTGATAAACAAGAAAAATAATATGGGGTCTTAGTTTTCGTAATGACCTTTCGTAATTACGAAAACTAAGACCCACCGGAAAAGTGAAAATCAATGAAAAGACGGGGGGTCTTAGTTTTCGGGGTCTTAGGTCTTAGGTCTTAGTTTTCGTAACATCCGATCGGAAGGCGCTTCCTCGATGATTTTCCCTGAATCAGGTCAATAGCCACGTACAGAGATCAAATTTAAAGAATCCAATTTGGCATTCTGGTCATCGCAGACATACTGTGTTGTTTAAAAGGACACACAAACAAGTTAAAATACATGTACGTTACGGTGTTATTTACAAAACAACCTTCCGCAAGAATTCTTGCAGCTTCTACCGAGGTTTAGCGCACGGAATGCAATCAACAGGCCCTCCTTTCCTAACATTTGCTGCCATCATTAGAGATTTTATGTTTTTACAGTCCACAAAATTCTTGAGGGACAAGCTTAATCTTTTCCTTCGAAGCAAATTCGGCCTGGTATATTGGGTGACGTCAACCTTCACCCCCCTGTTCAATATTTTTGAGGGGGTGAAGGTTCTAGCATACCTCGATCCACCCCTCTCGCTTTAGATACCATAAATGCTCGAATTAGCGCCCAGCCTCAAATAAGCGCTCCGCTTCGAATTAGCGCCCCTCCTAAGGCTCAAAATTTGTACTAAGCGCCCCCCTTCAAATAAGCGCCCCCCCCTCCCCCAAGAAAAAATTAATTTCGGTACTCGGTACGATATACCAGACGTATACGGTTCTTTCAATGAAATGTGACATTGTTAAAGTAGTTTTCTATAAGGTTTTTGAATTTTTATGTTGCAGTTTGGTTTTAAATAGATATAAAGATAGTATCATTTTGAGGCTAAAAATTCATAAACGAAATAAGCGCCCAGCTTCAAATAAGCGCCCCCCTTCGAATTAGCGCCCCCCTCTCGCCTTAGAAAATTAAATAAGCGCCCCGGGCGCTAACTCGAGCATTTACGGTAAGTCTGTCACCCACGTGTTTGTTTAGCGGAGAGGAGAGGGTCTTCAGTTATAGGTGGTTTGCAACCAATCTCTAGAGACACAGGTAACAATGGTAAAAGGAACAAATGCTGGTGGACGAACAAAAGAAGCTAATGAAATATGAAAAAGAGGCCGTTAATAATTAATAAGTGAAAAGAGGCCGTGTACGAAATAATCTTTAGGCTCATATACCTTGACTTTATACTTATTAATTACCAAAGGTAATAAATTAGTAATTACCAACATTTGCATCACATGACATGTCAATTAATTAGCATAATCACGCAGTACAATACATATTTGCTTGGCTGGTTTTGATAGTGGCAGGAAAAGGTTAAATTTGTCACACAAGAACGTCGAGGACTGTAACAACATAAAATCTCTAATGATGGCAGCAAATGTTCAGAAAGGAGGGCCTGTTGATTGCATTCCGTGTGCTAAACCTCGGTAGAAACTGCAAGAATTCGTGCAGAAGGTTGTTTTGTAAATAACACCGTAACGTACATGTGTTTGTGTGTCCTTTTCAAGCTGCACAGTATGTCTGCAGTGACCAGAATGCCAAATTGGACTCTTTAAGTTTTATCTTCTCCACTCTGTACGTGGCTATTGACCTGATTCAAGGAAAATTATGGAGGAAGCGCCTTCCAATCGCCTTTGTTTACTTTGTCATGCAAGCGTTACGACTGATTATGTTTATGCAACGTTTTAGGATGACTCGCAATTTATTTTCCATCCATTTGTAAGAAAAACCTAAAACACTTTACGTTGATGATAAACAAATAAAGTTTGAACGGTGAAAGACATGTCATGGGTCATTTTCAGAGTTATGCAAATGAGCTTTGACACGTGCACGATTAAATAAAGGCATTGATTTGCGTTGTTTTCAAGATGATGGTGGATGAAAGCTAGAGAGATACCCGCGGGTTTGAGGTAATCGGTAATCTCCTTGGTGTATAAACTATCCTCCGATATGTCTTTTTAGCCCGATTTGCGCCTGCATTTTGAGAATTCTTTGTTTTAAATTGGTTAATTTTTTATATGCAAATTAAGGTCGAAAGGAAGGGTCTCTTCTGATCACGCTAGTGTGAATAGGATTTCAAGGGAAGTTTCCATATTTTGTCTGTGAACTGACAGAATATAGCTTGTAACTTGAAGCAAGAGAAAATTCCGTTAGCTACACTATTGCAGTCGCAGCGCGCTCGACAAAAGCTGTGAAATTTACACTTTCGATCGTTGTCTACACTGGTGGTCTAGCCAAAAGTCAATTTTCGCTTGTGGCGAGGCAAAAAAGAGAATTGGAAAACAACCAAACTATTTTTGAAATATGTGTCCTAAACCCTTTTCATAGGAAAAAAATTAAGGAAAATTTTTTTTGGACGGGAAGTCGAGTGGACCGCTTTTAGCGGGAGTGGCACTTAAAGAAGCCTGACCACTCATCTGAAATGAATGCGTCCCTGCAACATTAGGAAACCAAAGATTTTGAGTGGATGAACAGAAATTTGAGGGTAACCAAATAGAAATCTTCCCCCTTCCCCAAAACAAAATAATCATTCAACCTAATTATCTCTAAGTATGTTGATTGCAAATTTAAGTTTCGCTTCATTATTGTATTTCTCAAAACAGACGGTTTTTAAACCTTTTTAAAAATTATATTTAAGATGGATCACTTGATGTCTTTCAGCGCTTTCTATAGAGCTGACAACTGATTCAGTGGGGTGTTTCTGCAGAAACTGTACTGGCTTTTTTCAACAAAGGAGTAGTTTGTTGCCCTAGGAGAGTAAGTCAATCACAGTCTTGGGTATCGAAGAACTTGTAAAGTTTATCAAATATCAGGAGCGTTTTAAAAAAGGGTTTGGAGCAGATGTAAATTATTCAACGGCAAACGAAAGCACGCACTGGTCGGAGAATGAGAGAGAAACTTAATTACATAATGAAGTGTTGGCGAGTACAATATTCAAGGATATAGAATTCATTTTATAGACTAATTGCGATCTGGAAGACTAGCAGAGCCCTTTTCGTACTCATATTGTAAACTCTGCACGCACAAATGGGTGAATCATAAATCTTTAAACTCTGATTGGATTAGAGCAAACAAACGCGATGGGAAATGGCCATGGAGTAGGGAAATAAGTAAAGGTTTGCTGTGTATGTAGGTACCCTCTTGGCTTATAAACGACAGCTAGAGTAGTGATAACTTTTCTGAGCTAAAAGTAACGTTGTATTGATCCAGGTATTTTACACCCTTGTTAACCTATTTGAAAGCTTCCTTATCGCCTGATTAATCGTCTCTTTAAGAAGTTTCTGATTAAGTTTCTGGTCGTCTTGAAGCTGAATATAAAATTCAATGCACTGAACCAATCTCTTTACACAGAATTCGAACGCTAATTTGGTATGAATTTCTCATTTATATTGTGGGAATGCGTAGTAGGGTGTGCCGCCTGGTTCTTTTAATCCTGAGCCTCTTTCAGATCATAGGATGGCATTATTCGTACCCGTTCCCAGGGCTAGTCTTTGAAATCTGAATCGACAAGTACGATGACACGCACTCGTAGTTCCCTCGAAATCTATATCAGACCTATAACTTCCATAACTGAAACGTATGTACCCGTTTTCAGACCAATTCAATTGGCACTAAAACTAGATCCTTTGAGTCAAGTCCAACCTATGAAGTGAAGGTAGTTACCCCTCAACCCCCACCTGTACTACAAAAAGTAATCGTCCCGTTAGGTAAAAGACTAATTAACAAAACGTCCTGACCGCTAAATTTCGTTTAGATTTCTTGGTTTTTCGTTTCGAAATTATTCAAGACGAGCCAAATAGTCGAGCAAACTTTGTTACTTTTGATGAAATCTTAGACCAATGTGATGCACTGATGCCGAATCCATTTTAGCATAGTATTTGAGAAAATTAACCCCTAAAGATATTGTAAAAAAAACGATTCCTTTCAATCATGACCTTCAGAATTTAAGTCTGATAATAAATTTACACCATAGTACGAAGTAACGATAGTTAATAATTATAATAATATCAACTGAGTTATGGATAACAATCCTTAAAATCCATAGAGCACGTTTTACAGTATTTTTTATGTACATCTGATCAAAAGTGCGTTAAGTGGGCGATACAGCATTATAAAGAGCTTTTGAAGTTTGTCCTTAATTCTCTTCAAACTGAAACAATAGCCATAGTACATCCAGCTAGGATGCTGTTTTGGAACATCTAGGAGTCAACCTCTCGCCTCACCGACGCTTTTTCGCTCGAAACTTCTCTGATTTCGTCTCCCCCTTTCTCGTTCTCATTTTTTCGTTGAGAATGCGCGCTATCTCCGTCCATGCCGACGGCTTGTTTATTTTGTTTGGTATCCTTCTTCCATTTCATTCTTCTGTTCTGGAACCACGTTTTTACTTGTGTCTCGTTCAAACCTAACGTTTGGGCAAGTTTGGCGCGGCTCGAAGTATCCAGGTATTTCTGCTCCGAGAAAGTTTTCTCAAGGATTCGTAGCTGAAGATCGGTAAATACTGTGCGCGATTTACGGCATCTTCGGCCACTCGGTGTTCTCATCGTCGGCTTGAGACGGAAATAAACTGGGAGTGAATTGAGGACCTCTGGGCTTGGATCTAAACGTAAAAAAAAATGTCAGAACTGTTAGGCGTGATTCAAACAAAATTCGAAATAGAATGAAGAAGAAAGATTTATCGAATTATGTTGAAAGCGTAAAGAGCAGTCAAACTGGGGTGATCCTCTCTTCTTCCTCTTTCCTTCCTTTTTTCTCACTTAGCATAGAAAATTAATAATGATAACATGAAAAATTTACATGGACAAACATGGCTCTGCTCCCTTTTCGGGAACGTAAGTTTAATTTTAGAAATCCACAGCAAATATCTGCATCAGGGCTACATTCGAATTTGTTTTCGCTTGAGAAATTTGAAATTAATTGAGCAGCTGTGTACTATCATTCGTTGTTTTGAAATGATAAGACAGAAAAACGAACAAAAATGTTATATATAAGTGATATGATGATAAACGTATAAATGCGACACCCCAAAAAAAAAAGTTGTTGCCAATCTTTTTAAATCAGAAGCTATACCGCTGTGGTTATGGTGAACATGTTTAAGAATGACATACTAGTGAACTAATTTCTTCGTCAAGTATTTGCTCTGAGGTTCGAAAATCTCGGTATCAACTCATTAACGGCTCAAATTTCTTTGATTTCCTCCCCGTTAACAATTTTCTCACAAAGTTGGTAATAGATTTAAATATAGTTCAGTTAAAAGCTCAGTTGAAACTGGTAATCGTTATGTATGCTTTTTCAATTTACAACGGTTAATTTAACCCAGGAAGAAAAAGTTAAATTCAGTCACGCCCTTATGCAAAGTTTATAATCGGTGGTGGAAAAAGAGTTATGAAAGAGCTAAGAACGGATATATACCTTGATAAACTGTAGAATGGTCTTTGCGACTTCTTGAGAATAGAGCTGGCATACCAAAGTTGTACGAGCTTCCGCTGCTGGAAGGGACTTGAGGTTCGTGTGCGTGTTCTTGCGGTGGTTTTGGCACTAAATAAGGCGATTGTCTCCTGACGAGAAGATCTTCGATCAAAAACGAAGGTCTGCTTGGAGGGCTGCGAGGAATGGCAGGCCCGGTTTGCATGTACGGAGACTGCGGGTACAAAAGCATAGGATCTTGTGAGAAGAACATCTTAGTGGGTTTAGGTTTCAAGATCTTGGTGTCGTCAAAGTGCAAGCTCAACTTGAAATGTGTTTGCTGTGAGTAGCGATCACTTTAAAGTCTGACTGCTGGGAGGGGTGTAATTACAGCACATCACACATTTTGTTGTTTTCATTTACAGACATGTCCATTTACATGATTGACAGCTAAAAATGCATATATGCTTAAATTTAGATTTGTATTTAATTATTTTCAAGATTACAAATGTTGAAATCAGTCTTAAATTAAAAGTGTAAAAGCTTAAATGCTAGTTGCACTCGGCGTTGAAACGTGTACGATGTCTCTAATACGAGGTTTAGCTCATCATCAACTACTCAGATCTACTCAAGCAGAAAATGGCACTCGTTAAAACCCTTTTTCAAGACAAATTTCGGTCAATTAGTGATATCAAAATCTTTAGACGTGGCAGTTAAAAACAATTATGTTTATAATTCCAAGAGAGAATTCAATTGCACATAATAATAATAGAAAACACTGAAGTCAATAAAAACTGGCTTGCTTTATGTGTTTAATTAAATACGTAGTTTAGGGGAAGTGAATGGTTGAAAGAAAGGTTTTAATTTTGTCATGTCGAATAAATATCCGACACCATTCAAAGTAGTTTTAACACTAGCTAACTATAAAGCGGGCGTTTAAATATTTTAATCCCTAGAAAATTACCTGGTCGTTTTGAGGGGAACATTAAAAGCCAAAATAGTTTTGCCTATATTCTCAAACGTTTTAAACATACTTCCGAAAGATAGGAATAAAAATTTCAAAAGTAAAAAAATTACAATTAAAAAAAACCTAGGGTTGTTTTAATGCTTTTGAGAGACTTCACCTCACTAAACAAACATAATAAATGAACTGCCGTCTTCCTCTACCTATTATTATCACCAGTAACTGTCAAATTAAACAATGTCAACCATGAATTCTACGTTTGATTGTGTATAGAGGAAGCGTGAAGTAATGGCTTTGAAAAATACTTGTTTACCTTTGTTCAAAAGCTCGCTAGCTCAAGAGGAAACCTTATAGATGACTTGATGATCGATTTACCTCGCAGTTACTCAAAAGCTTTATTCAACTGTATAAATATTACTGAAAATGGAAGTGAAACGCGGACATACGATGCTACGGAAACAAACGAGTTGTCCTAAGATGAAACCCGATCTGACTGAATTTTAACTCACCCTAAAAATTTCTTCTGAAAAATTCAAGTTTTCTTCATTAGTTTGTGTCTTGTAAAATAACACATTGATTGAGTTATGGTTTCCCATTTCAATTGGCAAACAATTTATTACCTTACTTTGCCTGCAGTTGTGATGATGAAATTTCTTTGCAAAAATTACATCAATAAAGTACGATTAGGTAAACGTAATTTAACTAGGTATCGAGCCCTTTCGTGTTACAATTCCAAATATATTCTGTTTATCGTTATCATTATGATTTCTTTTAGGACTCTTGGCACTACAGTTAGCCCGCAAAATAAACTCCTCAGTTCTTCTTTTATTTCTCTTTTTTCCTTTTTTGTTTTTTTTTTTCGTTTATTAGTCTTCGCGGCCTGCTTCCGCTAGCCTTAAAAACGCCACTGAAAGATAAATATTAAAAATAAATGCCTGTTCGGTGGGTCATTCTGCAGATAAAATTCCAGTCTAAAGCTGAAAATAGAGGCATAGAGAATTAAAGATCGCCATATAGCTTTCCAAGGACCTGATTCGACAAGAAGACGAAATAGAGGAAGAATAAAAAGTTAATGAGACCATCTAAAAGTAAACAACTTATAAGAAGCAACCGGTTCGCGGCTAAAATGTAAGAAAAACTCAGCGTGATTTCCGATTTCTCCGGAACTTTAAGTCAAACATTTTTATGTCAATATATACGCGGAGCTGCTAGTTTTCAAATTAAATTAATTGATTTTCCCTCAGGTTCAGGGAAAGTACAAGAAAATTTATCCGCTAAATGAGCGAGATATTAGATTCAAAAGGTCTTAGGAGCAAGATCCTTAAATAGCAAAGAGCTTCGATCAAAAGATAGAGGGGTTGTGTGTGTTGATCGTGGAAAAAATAATTAAGTACTCAGCTGGGGAATAAAAATAAAAGGAGAACTAAAAAAGGCACGAATTTACGCAGCTTATAAAATGAAACCGCGGGGAGTCGAGCTCGTTTTGTTCAAGCTTTAACTAAAACGGGATTTGCTTGGACAGAGAGGAAATTTAACTTTCTTGCCCTTTTCTTGTAAATAAAAGACGACTAGCTTCTTAATTTCCCGCATATGGCAAATTTTAATTTCGGTTTTTGATTTGTTAATTCCTTTTACTCAGTGTTTTGCCCATCAGTTAAGATCTGCTCATCTGATTAACTCTGACGCGATACTCTCTTGACCATTTGGAGTCATGATTGAACAATGATTAAAAGATCATGTCATGTTTAATACCGTCCAACCAAGCGTTCAAATGTAATCGTTAATTATCAAGGTTTCATTGTTGCCGCGGGAAAAAAAACATTTAGTTCCTACAACTAATTTTCCAGATGTAATCAGAAATACATTTCGAACGTTAACCTAAATAAAAAACAGTTTAAAAATAAATGCAATGACGCTGTTAATTAACAGAAATGCTATATCATTTACACGCCTATAGATCTAGCTGATCGATTTTTATTTGATTCTTGAGAAGTGGATCAGATAAGAGACCGAATAAAACAGATATTTGTTTTCCGATCTACGAGACGGAAGGTAAAGGAAATATCGGTCGTATAAGACGCTCAAACTTTAGATAACTTCTTATGTGGAATAAATTAGTAACAACGTCACCCCAGGAACTAGAAATCGCGCGCGGACAAATTGAGTATCACTTGATTGAGATATTGGATAATTAGGATCGAATTCGAGTCTGAACAAATATCCTTAAAAATATTACAGACGATGACTGAATAATCACAGCAAGATTTCCAATATGGTTCAACGTTGCCTCAGAATTTAAAATATTCGACCGCTCCACAATCCTGATGCACTCATGATCCCGAGATCCCTCTTCGATGCTTCTAACCGCACGATTTATAGCTATCCGTACTCATAGCCGAAAACATTAAAGTTACACAACAGAGAATCCAATCAAAATTAAAAGCTCCGAGTTCCCCAGCCGCAATTTGCAGTGGTAGACAAGTTTGCACATGTCAAATTTAATTATTGTGACCCACGTCATAGAAATATATCAGTGAATGAAAACTCTTAATTTGCAACCTTAACTACAATTTGAGACTATTTAAACTTTAAAAAAGGGAAGAGTCACGCAATGCGGAGTTATGGTAAAAACTGATTAGTCCAACTTTGTTGCGACTTCACCTGTAGCATCGAGAAATTTTTATTGTTTTCCAACAGAACTTGACTTGTTATTTCACTCTCCATTTGTGGCGTATGGCTTTCGCCGGACGGTGAGAATATTCAAATCATACGCAAGTCTTAAAGCGTTCTCAGTTATGAGCATTGTGAATGACGGCTGTGATTTTGTTATCATGATCGAATCACGGAAGTGTCAACGACAGCGCTGTACTGGGACCAAATCGATCATCCACCTCTCGGTGTATGTTAGGAATTTCAGAGTTCTTTTCGCTGCGCACTTGGAGCTCAATAATCTCTAATATAGATTAATTAGTCAGTAAATAGAAGAACAACGCATTTGATAACCTTCATATGCACATTTTGACCTTGAAAGAAGACTAGACGTTGACATCATTCATTTCAGTTTTTATGTTAATTTTTTTGTTTTTTTTTTGTTTTGACTGAGAGTCGCGGTGTCGGTCAGTACTGTGATTTCGATTTTCAGTCATGGCTGATATCCACAGAAGGTGGGCGATTTTAAAACTGGCTCACACAGAAAAAAGAAATGACTCGTGACTTTCTATCCGATCGATCGATAGATAGGGAAGTGACTTTCCCCTAGAACGAGTAAGTGCTGTCATTGGAATGACTGCGTTGAAAGACAGGGTAACCCGCCTAAACTACGAAGCCCATTTTTTCCATGACAAATCCTTATTTTCAAAGGCAAAGATACTAACTGTTTAGTTCAGGGATTCCACCAGACGCCACTTAGACTTCAACTGACAATGCTTAACTCGTTCAAACACTGTTAGAAATTGTATTGCTCAGCGACGAGGCTATGCCTCCTCAAAATAATATAACACTCACCTACCAGGTCTAGAATTAGAAAAGAGCTGACAAACTGAAGCGAGATCGCAACTTCGCAGCATACTGACAATATAGAGATATTCATTTGATCACTTAATTTTTTTTTCCTTTTTTTTTTAGTTTTGTTTTGTTTTTTTTTTGGTGTGAAAGTTTGCGGAAAAAGGGAAGGCGCAACCCCTTTACCCCTGTTCATAGCCAATAAAACTTGATGAGCGAAAAAAAAGTTGCAGCATGCAGAGTGAGTATCGTCAGGGACATGTTGATGAATGGTACTGGTTACGAGCACACAATGTATTCGAGAACGAGGCCGGCCTAAAGTCATGCGCAGCTCAGTCTTGCAAGATACACTTTCAATGCAAATACATTGAAATTTATGGCGAACGAGGGGAGGTTTCTCGCTGAATTATAACTCGTAGACGAGTTTGGTAGTCTAAAAATGCTTCATGTATCAAGGGAATTATTTCTACATACCGTACCAGCTTTACAGCAAGTTTTGAACCGGTGACTGCGACGAATTCGGGGATAATTTCCTTGTGGTGTCGAGGCTGTCGCAGTACAACTCCCTACTACGTTCTGTATTATACAGGAAACTGGCTGATCAACCCATAAACAGCAACCTTATGAACAGATTTGTGTGCTTATACCCGCATCGACTTTACAGTTATATTTTGATTTCGTGAATACAGCCATCGAGCGACAAAATGAGTAAGTTCCATTGTTAGATGTACATTTCATTTTTTTCCGAATCGTCTTTCCTGAGTATCTTTCCTCGATGATTCACGCGTCTTCAAGCCTTTGGGCGGAAGAAGAGTCGGCGTTGTTTAGCAGTTTGTAACGTTAAAGCTTTTAGCGCGACAATGCTAGTCGTTTCTCCTATCAGTGCCCTTTTTCTAAAATTTTGAGTTGGAAGAAGTCAGTAGACAAATACCAGCGGAACCTTTTGTTTTCTTCAGTCGAAGGCGGCATGATTGCTTAACAAAATAACAGGCGTGGAATTCTGTCTCAAATATTATCACAGCTCTCGTGTTAATCCTTTGTTAGTGACAGTATATTACATAAATCTCCGCGATAGACTCATTCGATTTGCGTTATGCGTTGTTAGTTGAGGGAAATCATTGTAAACAGACATCATCCAGTACCGTTTGTGCCAGAGGAAGTCGTCACAGAGTATGCCCACGTGAATACAATTCGAAACCTTCAGTTTTTAAACTTCTGCTTATTTCTGAGCGGCATAAAGCACCTTTCAATTTCGCCCATGCAGGAGACAAGTGTGCGATGATACAATTTAAGCTGACGAGAGAATTCTCTATTGTTTTTGACGCTCCTCTAATCGAGTTTCTTCAGCTGCCTTTTTGACTTAGAAATGCCACCAAACAATTTGATTTAATTGAGTTCATATGCAGTTGTGTTAAGTAGAGGCTCGTATGATATCGGACGATTTGATTGTACAGGGCGATAAGGGTGACTGCTTTCAACGCTTGAAATCAATAATCTTATTTATGTTTTCTCAAGAAGTCGTAAGCTACGAGTTGTGATACGCAGTTCATTCAAACGTCTAATCACGAACAACGTGTGCATTTAACATTTTTATTGAAATGCACTGACAAAGTTACCTTTCATAATATTGTTTTCTCGCAGGAGTCTGTCGTTCTTCTTTCAATCTTTGAGATGAAGTCATCGCTATAATTAGCTGTTGTATATACATGAACACTATTAAGATAACTGAAAAATGTTAAACACAATCTGTGCTATCGTTTGTTGCCTAAGGCTAAAGTCGGTGAAGGCAAAGCAGTGGTAATTACAATTCAAACAGACTTTTTCATCAATCTTAGTGCTCACAGTTCATAATTACTCTTATGATAAGAAACGAAGTTTATCAAGCCCAGGCAAAGTTTTAGGAACAATCTAAAAATGGCGAAATTCCATCTCCTATACTACTCATCCCTATAAATAATCCTGTTCATAAACATATGTCAAAGACACACTTAAAGCATCTAAATGAGGATCCTAGTAGAGTGGCTACACCTTTTAAGGGCAGATATAGTGATAACACAGAGATTAACAAGAAACTTTATTATTCTGTAAGCATGAAGGGTGAAATTTGTTTAGCATTAGTAGAATATTTTAAAGATGAAGGAAAAAGTTACTAAAAATGTAGAAATACATCTTTTTGTGAGTCTCCATACAGCACAATTATTGGTAACGATGCAATGTTACAGCTTGTTTTCTTTAAAAATGAACTAATTTAATTTGTGATAACTAAATAAACAAGAATTTATCTTTATTTGCACAAACCTGTACTATGTTGAGGTTGTTGACTTAATGAGAAGTGCTCATATTTTAAAGAAACATGCGTATCTATATTCACTGAGCTATACAGACGTAAAGATCATTGACATGGTGTGAATCTCAGTAAACTTTACTTTCAGTTGATTGTAATTGGAAGATCCAGAAGTGTGATGCTGATGGTCCACTGATAAATAAACTTAAACAACAAAGTTACTTATAGAGTTTCAATGTTTACAACTGTGCACATGTGTATGTAAAGGTGTACTATATTTAAATTAATTGATGCGTAACTGTGCATTTCAGAAGTATTACATGTACTTTGGTAATAAAATTATCTCTTATATCATAATCATCTAAAAATGGAAAAAATTGCATTTAAAATTCTCTTTGATTGTGGAAACCCTTTTTGAAGACCCAGTTTTAGCAAAAAAATTGGCCTACTGAAAAGTTGTGTACTTATTTACCCATTGAGGAAAGATTACTCTTACATAATGCCCTTATTAAGCCGGTCATGATGTATGGTAGTATAGTTTGGACCTATTGTTCTAAGGAAGATCTTATGAGAGTGTTTCGGTTGCAGAAACGTGCAGCGCGTGTAATATTAGGTACAGGTATCAGATCAAGAACTGTGGAAAATTTTAAGAAACTAAATTGGATCCCATTCTATGATGAAGTCAAGATAAGAAAGTGCGTGTTAATCTATAAGGCACTGCACGGGGAATCCCCTACGTATATTGAAAGTACTTTAACTACAAATCACTCCCTGCATGGTAGAGAGACCAGGCATGGCCAGTATAACCTAATCTGTCCCAAGTATCGAAATACTACTGAGGCAGGAAGGTCTTTCCAAGTTAGTAGTATTAAGTTATGGAATAGTCTTCCAAATGAGCTTAGGAAACAACGTAGCATCTCCTCTCTTAGGAATGATTTGA